ATGTATTTTAATAAACACACTTGCCTCTCCATATATATGAATGTATAAAATATCAGCCTTCATAAGTGGCGGCACGTATATGACACGCTTGGAAGAGAATTTGGACCCACAGTTGGAGGCAGCGCGTGATGTACGAGATAAGTTTGGCAGCGCATTGGAGCAATGACGTATATGCGGCACGTTATTACGCGCAAGTGCAAGCTCAGCGACGCAAGCTTTAACACAGTGGCAGCAGCTAGCAAAAGCCATGTAAGTTTAACTGAATCAAACGCTCATGGTGCGCACAACTTTTAACATGTTCTTTTGTAGCGATCCAAAACATAAAAATCAGCTGGCTTTAAACTGCCGTACGGCTCTACAAGCATCTTTGATATCGGTGGAGTGCGCGCAGTTGGCACTGCCACATGTGGAAATCAAACATATAAGCAATCGCCAATTGCTGGCAGCGAAACATTGCAATACGTACATGATTACAGATATTGCAAATTTTTCAAGGTAAAATGAAGAGTTAAAATTCAGCTATTCAAGACATAAAATTTTTACTATTACTTCGTAGGTATCAGCATACAACGAAAGTATTCACCTCTTTTGAGAGTAATATTTCCAAAGCATCGATGTGGCTGTATGAAACGTTTAATAAAACTTTACGTCAAGACTTCGATAAATCGGAAGAGACCGTACGTAATCTGGCGAAAACTTTGAGGGATCATAGGCAAGAAGTTTTTACTGCCGCTCGCAATTAATGATCGCTTACTAACAGCAACTATTTTAAATATGTAGTTAATTATAAAGTGTATTGACACTTTTCTTTAAAAATAATTAAATAGTTTATATTTGATAACATTTTAAGTAACCAATAAATGAAATAATTGTTAAACTTAATACCAATAAGTTTTTTTGGGCGTACGTTCTTCAACAATGCCCATTTCATCCATAATATCCATTTCAAATGTTGCTAATTTTGGTTGGAAAGTAATCTCTCCCACAACGTTGCCTAGAATACATTTCAAATTAAAAATTATAAGTATGCAAACAGTGGCTCAAAAAAATGAACTGTACCGGGAGTATCCTTTTCACGCTCAATATAAGCGTTAGGAGTTTTATAATCATATGTTTGATTATTTGTCTCGGGGATGGGTATAATACGGCCTGTGCGTGCGGATACTCGAACTTTTTCACCCTCCTCGGTGTACCGCCATCCAAAATCTGTTCCTTGCAAGTCAGATGGATCTACTAAACGCACATCTTTTGTGACCTTTCATGGAAAGTATAATTAACAATTTAAAAAATGTATTCATGGCACAACTATATAGCTTACATCCAAAGGCGCCTCTGATTTGATTAAAACGCCAGGAAACCCCTTTTCACCCCCTACCGTACGGTAATGCCAATTTAAACCATCGACTATCCCCAATTGCGTTCGGCGATAACCTGATTGACAATGCCCTGCTTCCCTTTATCTTTGCCAACAAGCACTTCAACTCGATCACCGCGGAAGAAACTCCAATCCTCTGTACAAATGTAGCTTGATTTAG